ATTCTTAATTTGGACTAAGACAGAAGATAGTGTCTGGGTAAATTCTTATTTCATATCTAAAATGTACAGTTGGCAGGTTTATGCAGCAAGATTAAGGAAGAATAGAAGCCACTTGTGCGTGCAATGCATTTAAAATACATGTTATTATAGAAGGCTTACATTTTATATATTTCAGGATGGCCATGTGTACTCTTTTAGAAAGGGCAGTCCCCTGTTTGAAGAGCTGCCAAGGATGGATGACCAGAAGCCTTCCAAACAATTTGGTCAACATTTCTCATTATTTCTTGCCAATTTAGTCAATGATGAAGGATAATAAGAGCTGTAGAAGGTAACATCTGGAGGGTCACAAGCTACCTACCTCTCCTTCCCAGTTTCACTGTAAAGATGAAGAACCATGAGAGCTGCTCCCCTACACAGACTGTCAGTGCACTGGACAGGCAGGCCAGCCACCTGAACTCACCTGCATCCTTATATTATGATGATGATTTCCAAATGTGCACCTATACATTTAAATTAGTGCTTATAAATTATTGTCTTCTTTCTTGTGGAAGGCTTTCCTTTCATTTGGTGATTCATGGGTAGCCTTGCTAATTATAATATTGGTGAGGTGGGTGAGATTGCATGATAGACCTTAAACATATCTTCCGATTCCTGTTTCCATTATTTGTTATTTCACTGACACTTCGGCCCTGATGATGCAATAGTGTAAGGCAAGTGTCCACACAAAAGCTTTGGCAAGAGCTTGTAGGCAGTGCCCCTGATACTACGGATGTTTCACTGTACCAACTGGCAACCCTATCCCTAACTCTAGCCTAAGCCCAAGTATTCATGAGCAGAACAAGATAAAAGGGACCACAGCTTCAACTTGATCTGTTGTCTCCACTACACTTGTGGTCCTGGTGGGAGCCACAGTCCTATAGGGTGGCCACCTGTGAATTGCCCAAAAAAAGAGGACAGGCAAGAAGACACAAAATTGCACAGGTAAATTTATATGTAAAAAAAGGTAAAAGTTTCCCCATGACATTGAAGTCCAGTCACGTCTGACTCTTAGGGGTGGTGCTCATCTCGGTTTCCTGGCTGAGGGAGCCCGTGTTTGTCCACAGACAGTCTCCGTGGTCATGTGGCCAGCATGACTCAACACCGAGGTGCACAGAACACTGTTACCTGCCCACCAAAGTGGTATCTTTTTATCTACTTGCATTTATATGCTTTCAAAATGCAAGACTGGCAGCAGCTGGGACGGAGTACAGGAGCTCACCCCGTCTGCGGATTCGAACTGTTGACCTTTTGATCAACCAGCCCAGCAGCTCAGCAATTTAAACCACTGTGCTACCCACAGTCCCTCAAATTTATATGTGCAAGAGCCATTTTAGAAATAAATATTATAAATTGAATGGAAATATTGTGATAGATGTGACTGAGGTGACCTGTATGCCTTGCTCAATTTGCTATCCAGGTGCTACTAATGGGACAGCTCCAAGCCCCTGAGCATTTCCTTCTCAAGATTCTTTATCTTTAAACTGGAATTTACAGCCCTTCAGAGAGAGGACTCCTCCTTGTGCCATGTGCGGTCGGGCATCATATTCCTGGAAGGGTTCTATTAGCTAAGTTGGGACTACTGGTATAAAGCCTTTGCTTTCCTTATTTCATTATCTTGGGTATATCAACCAGAGAGAAAAAGAGGGGGTGTCTTTTTGATTTTGCTTGAGTCAGCACCAGTGCAAAGGTGTATACTCAGTATCTTTTCAGGCCAATTGCTAGATCTACTAGATTAACAGAACTGATTACAAAGGATTGAATCTTATTCCTGTGGACTACAGGATCATGCCTACTACAATCACCCACAATACTTTTATTTACACTCTTTTTATTTCATCCCCTGTCCGCTGGTACATTCCTGGCTTAGAAGAGGGAGAAAGAAGTTGAATCTTGCATGCAAAGCTGCAGCTTTTCAAAGGGCTCCAAAATATTTCTCTCTTACTGTCTGGTGCTACAAAGTAATTAAGCATTGGCTAAATCTTGATAGCTTTGTCCAGAAAGGGCACATACTGATTCTTAGAAGAAACAGGCTATGCAAAAGTAAATGCATTCAGTGCCCCTTCTGTAGCAGGCAAATTGAAAGTAGGCACTGTTTGCTATCTCATCTTCCCAACTATTTCCTAACAAACACCAACTCTATGAAAAGCTTTTAACAATTATTTGTATTTCATTTTTATTCTTCTTACTACAGGCTTGAAACCCTAGGCCAAGTAAGGTGATACTTAGCAGTTACCAAGTATCCAGGATTTTTAAATGTATGTATGTAGGATCAGTCTCACACCTTCCCTCTTCTGACATTCCCATGTTCTCCTGTCATCCTTATCATGCAAGCAATGTAGTGACTTGATAGAAGGGTTATTCTCCATTCATTTGAGTACAGGATCTTTTGGTCTTCCTGCAATGGAATCTCCTGCAAAGCAGATTCTGTTCCACCCAGTCAAGGAGTTTTTACATTTGACTAAATGCAGAATATCCCCAAATACATTTGCTAGATTATATCAGTTGTAACAAGGACGTGAAGAATGTACAACCAGATACTCAGTTCACCATGGACACAATCGTGTGTTAAGTACTATCTCATTTCACCTTCTTAATCTTCCTTAACAAGGACAATTGTTTTCTTTCTGCTTCACATCAAAGAATTTACTGTACATTAATGGAATCTTTAGTCTCTATCCTTGCATATGAAAATGGCTTCCGAAAGAGTTATTTTTTTCTCTGGAGAAGAAATTTTGAAAGCAAGTTTTATAGCATGAGAATCAATGACTAGTTTGCACTGATGTCTTGTTTCTCAATCGCATTTTACTGTAACAGCTTGTCTTTTTGCACTGATGCCCATACTGCATTTGTAGGAGTTGCTGTTAGTCTCGAAGTCGTGTCTGACCCATTGCGACCCCCTGGACAACAGCAGACTCTTTAAGCCAATTCCACGGAACCAGTGCATTCAATAGAGAACGTCCCTAAATTCAATTTAATGGGGAAAGAGAGAGAGAGAGGGAGAGAGAGAGAGAAGAGCGAAAACTCCCACCAAGAAAGAGGACTTGCAGGTATCACTGGGATTTGCTGTGCTTTGCTTTGCAGAAAGCTTCATCATCATAAAGTAGGTGGAGCAACAAGAAATAAGTGTAATTTTAAGTCTGATATATTCTTAACAGTATTGGTGTGAGATAAATATTCTTATTGGTTTTCCCATTCAACAGAATGGCCATACTGCAACCCTACTTGAATGGGCTGTTTGGCAGAAACCTAAGCAGGTAGTCCATGCTAACAAATTATGGAATTTATTCCCAACAAAGGAGGCTGCAGGTGCCAACTATTAATTTAGACATGCATATGGTGTCAGTATACTGCTTAATTTTGTAGACATGAGCTAAGATGTCTAATTTAGCCATCAGGTTTGACAGTTTTAGTCTGAAATGCTGCAGCCTTCTGTGCTGTTGCACCCTGGGTTAAAAAGCAGTATGTTTAAGTTGCTTTAGTTCTTCTTCACCGACCCCGACTGCTCAGCCAGTGCACTTCCAAAGCCAGCCACCAACAGCCACACAAGCTTGCCAGCATGCTGCCCACAGCATATTGAAAACCAAAAGCTCCTGACAAGTAGGACAGTTACAAAGCCAGCCTGTTATTTGCATATTGCAGCTCCAGGTTTGCGGCAAACATCATCCACAAAGTTTACCACTTATGGTAGTACAATGTTTTGCTGTCAAGTGAGTTAAAAACATATTTATTTTCTCTCTCTCTTTTTAAGCTCCTCAAAAATGCTAGCAGGATTTTAGGTGAAACAATGTTTTTAAAAATTAAAAACTACTACTTAGCCTATAACCTTGTTATATTTTTAAGCTGATGTTAAAAATACTCAGTGTTTTTCATGCAAAATGTGCATGATTAATTTTTGAAAAATGAAGTATTTCCTGTTGCATCTTCTCGGCTCTTAAAATGTGTGAGAGTAAGAGTTATCACTCTTTAGTTAACTTTAAGAGATGCAATAAATATCTTCTCCAGGATCTGTTATTTAAGAAACTACCAAAATGAAATCTCTTGAACAGCAGAAGCCTATGCATATTTACTCTAAGTTAAGTCCCACTGTGCTCAGCAGAGCTTACTCCCCAAATCATGAGTTTCGGATTGCAGCTAAAGGACATAACTCAAACTAAAACATTTTAAAGTTCTATTTATTTTAGTCTGAAAGCACGTGCCTAAGTCTTCCACTGAAGGCAATGAAAACTGAAAGTGCTTCACTGTGACCAGATTATGCCCAGAGAACATACTGTAATCAAGGTGAGCATAAGGGTAGAGTGATTCATAAAAAGTAGATTTTGTAAATTAGAAGCACTGAAAAATTACACACCAAAAATAATAATAAAATAGTTTGGAGGTAAAGTGGGAATCTAATGCTCAACCAATTGCAGTAAAAATGGTCTCATCTGAATCTCAGTTTTCACAATGAAGCTGCATGTAAATTTGTACACATATAGAACTCTCCTTTACTTAAACTGCAATGTTTTTATTTCAATTAAACTAAGCTAATGGGGTTTTTAAAAACAAAGAAAAAAGATCCACATGTTTTTCTAAAGAGTATGCATGCACAGAGCTAGCAACATTTTCAAGGGTGTTAAAATAATTTAATATAGGTGCGAGTGCAGAAATCAGAAGGGAGGAAAGAGATTAAACACAAAGAAATGTAAAAAGCTATCACATGCAAGGAAACTAGGTTACAAGAATCACAGCACCAGGCATTCACCAATCACCAGGGAAAACAGGAAGTGAAATGCATAGCAACCACAAGCCCAAAAGCAGAAAAGCGCATACCTTCAGCTTGGAATGAAAATCACGAGATTTCCTTCTGGCAAGAACCTGAATGTGACTAGACACCTGCAGGGTAGGGGAAGGGAGGGAAACAAAGGAAAAGCCTGTAACCATGGAGATGAAAAGCCCCCTACAACTGGGCAAGCCAAACGTACCTTAATGGCGGCTTGAATTTCTCGAACTTTCTTCCTTGCTAAGACCTGTATGTGACTAGACACCTACATTGTTCAGAGTTATAAAAGAAAGAAAAAAGGGAGGGAAGAAAAAACACAAAAGAAACACACAAAAATCAAATATCTGTTGGGGTGGGAATTAAAAGTTTCTTTGAGGAAAGTTATTGGCATCTTCAGTAAGCTTTGTTGTTAACTGCCCACATTCCTAGTCAAACACCATGCTTTAGCAAAGAAGTTACCACACATTGATCATCACTGCAGTGACTTGATTAAAAAGAAAAGGTTGTGGTCTATTCAATTTTGCTTTCTGTCAAAGAGAAACTGGTACATTGAGTTAAGTTAAAGTCTAAAAGCTTTCTTTTTTTAAGTGTTCAATTATTTCCAGTGTTGCAGTAAAGGATTTTCTTTTGACTAACAATTGTAGATTTTTCAGAAGTGAACAAATTAGTGTTTAATTATCATGGAATTCTATATGAAAAGCAATCCACACAGAATGGTATGAAACTTTTATTTTTATCTATTGATAACTCGAAATTCTGTCACAACTACTGAAGTGACAAAGGATTTCAAATGCAGCTTTAACTAAGAGCGCACAGTACAAAAAAAGAAAAAGATGAGAAATCTGCAGTCATTTTTATGTGGATGGGGAGTCTTTTTGCTGAGCTGGGGATGCCAAATGGGGAAATGCGCAATAATTAGACATCAGTGTAATCAATGAAACAAAACTAATCATCACATAATATATCATATCTACTATATTATAGCATACTGACTGTACAAAACACTGTTGTGATAATAACAGGGGAGAAACACCTAGAACTCTTAATGGGTTCTGAAAGGAAAAAACCACAGTTGACCAGCTATAGAAGAAATCCTAGAGAGCTTATGGTGAAGCCCAAAGAAACTGAAAAATTGTTCCTCTTGGTATGTAATGAATCTAAAAGCATATTTCAGGATGGTCAGTCACAGTGTGCAACAATAATGTAGAGCATAGCACCAATCAGAAAGATGTAGCTCAGTTTCAAAAAACATACAAGTTAGTTCCACAGGTCTCTCTGGCCATCTGCAGAACATAATCTCAAATAAACAAAGTGCAAGACCTCCACAATCTAAGATCATCTTGGATCCAATTCCACAATAAGTATTGCATGGTGAGTCCCCTCTCCAATCCAAACACTAGGAAATCAAAAACCAATACAAACCCAAATGACTCATTCTGCCCCCAATATTACTCCTTATACATCAAGATCCAAAAGAAGAAACAGTCTATTGTGAAGGGAAATCTGCAGAACTTTTGTCTGAGCTGTTGTCAAATAATTGGATGGAGCAACCACTCACTTCAAATACTTTCTCAGTCAACAGAGAAGACATGCCACTGGAAGTTAGCAAATCATGTATCTAGACATTGTCTATTAAAGTAAATTACATCTGTAGAGCTTGCATTACTGTATCAGACAGAGTCACAACCACTGCATAATCTAGTCCTGTGATAAAATGATTTCTTATCCACTTAGAACATTTCTCATTGTTGGATAATTTACCTCTATGTGTCTGTCTTTTCCAAATCTTCAGGTGCACTTTGAAAGACATACCCAGAAGATTTTTAGGGGAGTTCACTTTGAAGGGAAAACACTTGCAAGCAGCAAGATCAGTGAGGGACATCTTGCTTATGTGGGAAGGGAGAGTGTGAGGGTGTGAGAGCAAGAGAGAACAGTCGCATTGAAACTCAGAGCAGCATGATTCTCCCTAAATGCAAACAAAAGGCTCAAACTTCTGACCTAACCATCTTTTCTAAATAAAAATGAAGAGATTGGCAATCTTCAAAAGCAAAAACTGTCTAGGACAAGGGTGGGCAATGTGTGGCCTATTCACAGCATATGCTTCCCCACTGCCCCCCCCCATTCAAGTTTACCTGTACCCTAAATGGTGACTACAATGTACTCAAGGGCCCAAACTTAAAGCCATTTTGTTTCCTTTGCAGGGTGCCCTATAAACAATGCAATGGCCCACAGCACAGCTCTATGAGACAGTAAGTGGTTCCTGGATCTCTAGAACTTGCTCAGGGGTCTAGAATGCTAATAGTTACCAGGTGAGATGCAAAATAATTGAGCTCTGGGTCACCTACACCAAGAACAGCTCCTGGTGTAAAATATTTTGATAATTAAATTATCAAATTAATTTCAGTTCTCTTCATTTAGAATCCTTGTTTAATCTCCTTTGGGAATAGGCCACTGACCAGTGGTTGAAAACAGATTTTGCATGCAGAAGGCTGCACTTCAATCCCAAGCTTCTTCAGATACAGCTTGGAAATACTCCTGTCAGAAATATAGAAGCAATACTGATCCTAGTGGATCAATAATCTGACTCCATGTAAAATAGCTTCCTATGTTTTTAATAGGAAAACTGAGCATATGTGCAAGTATATTTACCTTGTGGCAGAGACTGGCTCAACATCAAAACAAGGCAAACTAGGGTAAAAGTTTCCATATATATATGTATGTAAAACATGTATGTAAAACATGGGGAACAGTATGTCTAATCTCATTTTCTGTATGGTCAGTACTCCAGTCTCTAGATACTCTGGAGATAGAACAAAAGCTGTAATTATGATTTGTCAACTGAGATAGCAGTCAAAACTATAGTTAACAGAAGTGTTTGCACATCTAGTTCAAATACATGGGTTTGCAAGTTTGGTTTATTCATTCAAGCATTACACTAAACCATAGTTTAACATGTCTGGCATGCTGTTTGAATCAAACTCGATAAGTTTGGGGAATGGTTATGGGAAATGATGGTAAGATTGCTGTTTAAGTCTTTTCCCATGTGCTAATGGGAAAAACAAAGATAATTTCTACATAAAATCAGAGTCTAAGCCTTGTGCCCCTCTTTCCTGATATTTAGACATGTAAAATTGGATTATGGTTTTATGTGTTACTTGTATAAATATCCTGAAGTTCTTCATGCCTTTTCAAAATGTTGCCACATACATTGTTAGCTAAATGTAAACTCTGAAAGGTTTATTTGCATGTAAAACTCTGATTCTAGACAACCCTTTTCAGCAGCAATCTTAAAATAAATTATACATTTTTAAGCTTCAAATTTAGCAGCTAAAAGCATAAAACACCACCTATCCAGCTGTGGACTGCAAATAATCTCCAAATTGTTTGTAGATAACAAATTATCTTAATTTTACTCAAAGAAGTCATTCACACTGTGCAGTTTGGATTGGGGGAATTTATTCAACATTTTATTACTGTTTGCTGCTCAGTTTTAAACGTGAAATGCTGAATTGGCATTACTTTTCACCATGCTACAAAACTGGCACAGAATGCCTGGGTTCTTCCTTTCTATTTATACATACTGACAGAACTGTGTGACAATTATATATGAATGATGGAGTTTAAAATACAAACAGATAATGTGAGCAGAACAAAGCAGATGGAAACCTTTGATGGAATACTGGATGAAATTCTATTTCATCACAGTCTGGAGTGGATTGCAGAAGTGAATTATGACTTCCATAATTCACTCTGCATAAAAGGGCTTTGCGTGACTAAGCTTCTGCACACACGTTCAATGGCCTCTCTTTTTCTGCCACCTCCTGCATCACAGTCCTTTTCTGTTTCTCCCAGGACTGAAGGTTTGTGATGCAGCAATGCATCAGTAAGAACACCACCCCTTTATTATCTTGGAGAGCCACTAGGTAAATGAGGTAAGGAAAAGGCCTCCCAGAGACTTCCATTTATTTCTAGAGAAGGTCTAGAAGATCCTAAAAATCAGCAGGTCCCAATCTGGAAATGCTTTCATTTCCACCAGAAGCTGTGGTTTCCTCCCAGCTTAGGGGCCAGTGTGGTGTAGTGGTTAAGAGCATGGGACTGGGACTCAAATGATCTGGGTTCTAGTCCCCACTCAGCTATGGAGCCAACTGGGTGACTTTGGGCCAGTCACAGGCTCTCAGCCCAACCTACCTCACAGGGTTGTTGTGGGAATAAGATGAAGGAGGAGAATGATGTAAGCTGCCTTGAGCCCTTTGTAGGAAAAAGGATAGGATATAAATCGAAAAATAAATAAAAAATAAATAAATTAGCAAAGTCACATAGTAATCATTGTATGATGAGTTTGAATTAGAAGCAGGGTGGAAGGAACAATCAAAGATGCCACCTACAGAAAACTCTCCCCTACATTCCTATACTGAACAGCAAAATTTTCTAACCTTCCAACCCAAAATCTAATTCAACCTATGCAGTAACCTCAGTAAAATACAGTTAAGTGTCCTCTGCAAAAAAGTTCAAAAATGTAATAATTACAGTAGTAGTAGTAATATTCTGAATACAGAAATTTTTCAAAGGACTGTCAAAAGCCCAAATCACAGGAAATAATAAATATTGTTACAAAAAAACCCTATTTAAAAATTGTCTACATGCTTTCAAGCCCAATTCAATGTGCTCTTTTTAACCCGCTTGGCTTGGGACCACGGCACCTGCTAGAAGGTCTCCCCTAACCTCAATCTACCCAGATACTGCAATGTGCATCTGGGGCCTTTTTCCAACTTCCACCTCCAAGGGAGGCTCACTAAGAGGCAACAGGGAGGATGGCACTCTCAATGCCCTCCCGCCCCCCATTATGAGACCTACCAGGAGTCTACACTATCATTTTTTCAGTATCAGCTTAAATGCCTTGTATTCTCAGGCATTTAATGGTATATATGGGGCAAGTTGGTTGTTTTAATCAGGCCTAGTTTTTATTTAAATAGTTTTATATGTTTAAACTGGTTCAAATTTTTATATTAGAATTTTATACTGTGTTGTATCTGTATTTTACAGCATCTGTTTTCATTATCATATTCTGATAAATTGTAATGAAGTACCCAAATAGTTTTGGGTATTGGGAGGTAAAGACATAACATTAATCATCATCACCACATGGCAGTGTAAATAGCTGAAGGAAGCAAACCAGTTTAAAAAAAAAAAAAAGACAAAAAGAATATCAGATCCCATTCCATAAGGGAGAGATGTACTCAAATGAGTACACTGCATCATGTACATAGGATAAAGCCATCTTCTGCCAATTTTCCTTGGGAACTGAAAAATCTGATAACTATCCTGTTATTAATTAATATTCAAAACCTCTCAACTAATTTCTTCCCTTTTGCCCAAACACAATTGGATATAATTTAAACATTGAAACAAAAGTAATACAAATATAGATTTCTTAGTAGATCCTAAGGAACTTCTTAGTCTTGAAAAATCCCACTTGCAACCTGTGGAATGCCCTGATTCTTCTTGCTTCCTTGCCCCAAGACACTAACTGGTTTGGTACTGAGTGACAATTTATTCTCAAGGTACTATAGCACATGTGTCACAATTATGAATATGGAACCCACATTCATGTCATGCAAACCTGGCCAACAGGGTTTTATTTGAGGGCTAAACAACTCTTTAATTGACTCTTGGAATTGTGGCACATACTAGCCACAGTTTATGCAACCATAGTCGGTTGCATAAACTGTGGCTAATATGTGCCACAATTCCAAGAGAGTCAATTAACACTCAGTGGGCTGCCATGTCATGTCATGTCATGTCATGTCATGTCATGTCATGTGAATGGGTCTAACCTTAGCCTCCCTCTACTTGAAATGGTTTGAAAAACAACTTTGGGAAATTATTTGCATTTGTGCCCTGCTAGGTATAAAACCCTGGTGTGTAAATTACTTTTCCTGAAGAGGATCCATATAATGTATTCTAAGCAAAAAGAAGAGAAGCTGGTGATAATCTACAAAGGGTTTTATAAGTTTTAACACTTTGGAGGTCGGATAAATCAGCTGGAAGCAAGGCAGGAACTTAGTCAAATACTATTATGTACACCCTGATCATCAAAGAGTGTACATATTTATTCTGAAACTAGTTGATTAATGTCTCCAGGCTACTTTTCAAATGTGGTTGCTTACAGCTGCAAGTATGCATAAGGGTCTGTCACTGAAGTGATGAATGGCACAAAAAGCAGTATTTTTGAAAGCAAATCCAAGAAAAGGCAAGGCAGTATCTAACCAGAGCAGCATCTATCCAGAAGCAAAGGCGAGTACTGCAGCCAAGACTGCCTACATTCTGTCATTCACTGGCATGCAAGTTTTATCCTGTACAATTGTCTTACCTGTTTCCTGGTCCGTGTCTTTCCCGTTCTAAGTTTGATGTATCTGGCTATCAGTTCATTCCTACCTGAAACAAATATAAACTTACAATGAAGCCTAAAAGTAGAAATTCTGCATAAATATCTAAACATTTAAACTGCAAGATTTTAAAAAACTCATGCAACAAAAAACATCTATTGGGTATGTTTTAGGCTGAAATTCAGTGCTGTGTGAACAGACATCTACTTATACCAGTCTCCTTGCCAACACCCTAAATCTGTTCTGCACACTCCCAACTATATAGAGCAAATGTTGAGCAAGTGCAGGGAGCTGAGGAGAGGTAGGACAACAACTCTTCCAGAAATGTCTGCTCTACTGGTAGATGGCATTGATGGGTTCACCTGTAGTCTTTTGTCCAAAAATGGTATTTCAAATTAAACAGCTATGGGAAACTGGTACAGTGGTACCTTGGCTCAAGAACAATCCGTTCCAGGACTTTGGTCATGATCTAAGTCAAATTTCCCCATAAGGTTCAATGTAAATAAGGATAATCTGTTCTGTAACCAAAAATTTGAAGCAAAGTGACACAGGACAAAGATTGCAGCCATCTCCCCCTCCCCCTCACATGACCGTGAGACTGAGGCGTCCGTGAGCTGGGGTACCACTATATTTAAAACGAAATTGAAACTGAAAGATTTTTACTAGTAAATTAGAGACTATCAAATGCCAGCAAAATTTTGTCAAGTCCAAAACAACAGAACTTTTAGTGGCTACCTGCTGGCAAGAATGAGCCCAACTAAAACAAGCAGAAAAAACAAGCTGTGCCTTTTTTCCTTTATTCCTCCAAATCAAAAAGCATTAAAAGATATTATTTCTTTTTCAAAACAACTAAAGCAAGTATCAGACTTTACAACTTATGTGGTTAATACTTTTCCCAGAGATTGTATTCAGAAAGAGCTTGGCAAGGTGACCAAGAATCCAGCCTTCATTAACTTGCTGTTGTCCAGATATCTTGAATTACAGTTCCCACAATCCACTAGTCATGCTGAATAAGAGTGATTGGGCCTGTAGTACAATACATGCTAGGGATGTCAGATTGAGGGAAGACTGATGTAGTCCATTTAATGGCCCTCATCTCTACCCCCGAAGTAAACAAATAAAATGTTCAAATAAACAGAATCTCCAGGTTCATTAATTCATTTTTCTCCTATAATTTGGAATTGGGAGGATCAAGTAAGAAAGTATACAAAGGCAAATGCTACTCCCAATCTCTCTTCACACTGAAACAAGAAGCATAGTATAGTTCAAACTGTACTTCTAAAGGGGCACGGGGAAAAAGATATGGTTGTCTTTCTCTCTGACACGTCAAATTCTTTTCACAGAAGGTTCTACAGCTCTTTCCATATCTCCTCCATGCCTGAGTAGGAGTGAAATCATGCCACTCATCCATTTCCCCACCTTCATTATGTCCTACTAGATCTGTTCAATGCCTTTGCATATATAGCCCAAGGTGTGAAAAAAGGCATCTGTGTGGGAATAGCTGTACTGACACAGAAGCCCTTTTTAGCCCTTCAGCTATGAGAATGTTCAGTTGGTGCTGAAGGCAAGATCCCATTTCCTCCTCCACATGTTCACTCTGGACATAAAAAGGACTCAATTTCAAAATATCTGGCATGATGTGAAGTATTAAGTGTTTTTGCAGTTGTAAGAACTTAGGTCCTGTTTGCCCAAACTGTTCCTGTTTGAAAACTGCCAACATAAACTAATGTGTGTGCATCTTTGGAATTATGATTCTTATGGAGAAGAGCTGGAAATGTGGCTACACAATTCACAGACTATCATCCATTTGTTCATCTGAGGAAAATAAAAAGCAAGAATTGGTTGTCAAACAAGCAAGCTTTTGTAAATTGGAAGAGAGCTTGTTCTTTTCATTTCTCAGAATATCTGTATGCTTTACAAGTGACTTATACAGCTACGAGTGGGTGGGCAGGCTAGTGGGTGAGCAAATAACTTGTGCAAACTTACTGGCAACAGTGCATTGTTTCAACATATAACACTACACAGTGTCCATGAATTGTGGACACTTGGATCTATTGCTCATTTTTTCATTCCTATAGGATAATGCCATAAGACCATACCTTAACCTAGTGACCTGCATATATTTTCGACTATGGCTCCCAACCTTCCTGAGCATTGGACATACTGACAGGGGCTGATAGGAGCTGGGCCAAAATATCTGTAGAGCAGGTGGTTGGGGAGGTCTGATAAAACAACCAACAAACAATATAGTGCAGCACAGCACAATAAATATTAATGCTAAGCATTTAAAAGTAAAATCAAAGGGCATAAAATGTTTTGTACCAGCTAAATGACAACATATTAAAAGATTATCTTAAAGCACAGACAGGTAAGTTATAGTGGCAACATTTTTCCAGTACTTCCTTTATCTATCCATTCTATCACTGTTGAGTTCTCAGTACAGAAGAGAGAAATGAGGCAAGTTTGTTTGGGGAAGAAGATTCTTTCCCTATCTTGTGTCAGCACTCCTAGCTGGTGTCCACATTGTCTAGAACATTTTCCACTACTATTTTAGCCACTTGCATACAAGAGCTTTCCTTTACAAACCTGACAGTAGTGTCAGGTACTACAGACAATCTGACTATATGAGCAATTTAACATGGTTGTGTAGGTAACATCCATGACAAATAACAGCAGAGGAAAGCAGCCAGGCCCAAAGCAAAACAAACAAACAAACAAACAAACCAACAAAAACCTCTGATGCTTGCTCAGAAATCTGTCATTGCCACCACAATTGTTGGATTAACTGTCCTATTTCTTTTGGATCAACTGAAAGTTGCCATTTCACTTGCTGTCCTTTCCCACTTTCAGAGGAAAATATTTTCTGAGTGTGTAAAGGTTGCATTTCTACTTTCAATATTTGTTTATGTTATTCTTGAATTTGGTATTTTAACATTCTGTTTCGCAACTGAATCTGTTTCTCTCTGTGTGTCCTCCAATATATTTCAAAGAGCTGCTTAGAAGTTTTGATGTTTGAAGAGTAAGATTTCAATGGAAGTCTATGATAACATGAAGACTAGTAAAACATATGTAAAACTGCAAGAATATTAAGATATAAAATAGTAGTAAAATACCACTGTGTTTAAAGAAACCTCATTCACTCCTGAAGTTCATGCGTAAGGTCAAGTTACTTATTAATCAGCACTAAAATAAGCAAAAAAAAAGACAATAATTAGCTTATTTGCTAAGGTGTCTATGCATTAACATACTTCTTTAAGTTTTTATAACATAAAATGATAAACAACTATTGAACTGTGCCTTAGATGTTCTAATTTTCATACTGGTGACTTAACATTCAAGTGAGTTATCATATTGTAAACAGACTGGCACACAAGTGGAATGCTAATCTGGCCAGGGTTTAAAACAAAACCTTCACTTTGTTTGGCAAAAAATAAACAATCCAGTAAAAAGGGATGTTTTAAAAAAAGGAAAACAGCTTCCATTATATTAGAGGAGGGGTCTGCTCCAGCAAACTCAAAAAACTCATGGCATCTTGAAGACTAACAACTGCATTATGACATAAACCTTTATGGACTACAGACCACTTCATTAGGAGCATCAGATCAAAAAATTCTACTTGATCAAAGTTTATGCTATAATAAACCTGTGGCACAAAGAGGGAAGCCTTGGAAGGCTATTTAGTACCAATTGCTACATATGCATTAGACCCATATTTACTCAGAAGTATAGAAGAAGCCTCATTTTTCTCAAAAGCTTCAAAATTCTTTTTATGGTAGTTTTTAAACACAGATTGCAATGGCTTCTGAATTGGTGGAATTAAAGGGCGGTTCCTCTGGATCAGCTTTTCAAAGGCCATTTGAAACCAGTGTTAGTAATGCTGGAACCCATTCAGGGACTGGAGCAATTCTTAGGCCTTCACATATTTCAGTGAAATGGGACTGAACTATATAAAAATACTTCAGGTGCCTGTGTAAGGGGATGAAAATGCTTCTTGGGGGGGGGGGAGGGGGGGGGGGGGAGAGAATGCACGCATGCACGCATGCATGCAGGGAGGGAGGAGAAGAGACATTTTAAATCCAAATTAGACAACAACAAACCTCTTGTAGATAAGTCAACAACTGATTAAACAGTTTCAACCACTGACTAAGACACCCGCTATTTAAAAGCCAGGAGCAAAATCTATTTTAAGCCTTTAAAAATATTATAGGCAGGTGTTAAGTCATCCCCACCATGAGTTTTGAGAGGGGTCCCCCCAGCGAGTTTTGAGGAGGCTTAGGGAAATGGAGAGGGTGGGCAACTGGGCAATGCTTTCCTATGCAGGCAGCGTTTTGTTCAGACAAGCTCACTGCAGAAGGTCATGTGACATAGGCCAAATAAACAGCATCTGGGGATTTTCAATTACAGACCTTCACCCAGCATGCCTGCACTGTAATCTCTACCAGATGAGGCTCAGGCCTCACTATTTTCAATAATTCACACACTGTGTACACATAACATGACAATAAGGGCATTCATGCAACCGCCTGATTCGCACATCAAAGCTCCCAAATGGCCAGCTGTAAGCATGCTTACTGCTGAATAATTCATTCTTTTCACAGGCTTGAAAAAACGCTCAGCAGGACTTGGCAAGCTTGTGTTCTTTCCTGTGTGGTATGCTAAACTCAAATTTTGAAAGAGGTACAGCCCCACTTAAAAAAAGAAGCTGGAGATTCAGCCATTTAAATGCACATTTGCAAGGATTCAAATGGGTCTTTTTATTTATATAAAAAAATAAAAGAGTCAACTAAATGAGCTACAATCCCAAATGAGGCTAAGAAAGGGAGAGTGCAGCAGATTCAAAACCACACTTGGGTTCCTGAGGCAGGTGTTTAATACAAAAATAAATCAAGTTTCAACTGAAGAGTCTTCCCATGTAAAACACATCCACAAATATATTTCTGCATTACAAAATATCCAACCCTTCACAAAATCAGCAAATCTTTAAAACATTTTATCTTGAAGACCTCATCAAAGACCTCTGCTATTCTGAGGACAAAAATAAACCATGAT